CTTTAATGTCACTCCCACGGAATATAATGTATTCAAAGACTTCATCTCGAGGTGGTATTGGACGATCTGTTGGTCTGTCTTCTGTACCAAAGGATCGAACTGGCAAGAAAACAAAGGATGTCAGATGTGTGACTACTCATCAAATTCAAGTACAGTAGTACCCCAGATTTTAAGTGTTATATTTCAGGTACTAAGCAGTAGTTTGAAGTGTCTGAGAAAGTATTCATTCATCCATAGCTAAATAATTTTTTTAAAGAGGAAAATAGAGTAGGTTTTATCTGAAGTTAAATATACGGAAAATAAAAGACTATCACTATTATGAGATTGTGTTACTCTCGTATTTTTATTTATTTGTATCTTTAGTGGTTGTAGTGGGGTATTAAAATGTCCTTTCATTATTTACCTATTTATTGAGACAGGCTGTCACCCAGACTGGAGTGAAGTGGTGTGGTCATGGCTTCCTGCAGCCTCAGTTTCCTGGGCTCAGGCGATTCTTCCATCTCAGCCTCCCATGTAGCTGGGACCAGAGGCATGTGCCATTAAGCCCAGCTAATATTTTTATGTTTTAGTAGAGATGAAGTCTTGCTATTTCGCACAGACTGGTCTTGAACTCCTGGCCTCACATAATCTTCCTGCTTTGGCCTCTCAAACTGCTAGATTACAGGCCTGAGCCACTGTGCCTGGCTCACTGTTAATTTATTTTTAATGTCCTCATTCAGCAAAATAAAAATTAGCAACCTATGTCTTTCTTTGGAGGGAGGGTGAGGCACAGATTTTTCCAGTCTACAAAATCTCAAAGTTTGGGTATTGGTCTTTGGGACACAGAGAAGCAATGAAGGTATTCATAACATTTATTTGCTGAGCAGTAAGTCCTCTAGAAGCCAAGCCAAACAGCTGCCAGCTATTCAGCCCCATGGGATAGCCTAAAATATCCTAGTTATCTAAAATACCAACCATATAATTAAATCTGATTATTTTAACAACGAAGATAGCATTACTCAAAGCTAAACTGGGGACCACCTGCAACACAGTAAGCTGGCTACAAATGAAGATTTCTATTGAATAAAACTTATTGAGCACAGGGTCCAAAAATCTGCATTTTAAGCTACTATGATTAAGGATAGTGGCTGATGTCTGTAAATGCCAGCACTGGCAACAGAGTGATGTCCTATCTACAAAAAATAAATTTTTTTTTTTT